ATTTTTATGCTAAATTATTCCCTCTATCCTTCCTCCATTACTTTCGTGATAGAAGTCTACGTCTTGCTAGGGAACTCAGCGTCAGCCCTGGATTCTTTTGTACAGGCTCCTTCTCCAATTCTGCCAGCCTTCTCAGAACAACAGGGGGGAAGAATTACTGTTGTTCCATTTTATCATTTAGGGATGCGTGTGTGTGTGTGTGTGTGTGTGTGTGTGTGTGTGTGTGTGTGTGTACCAGCTACCTTTCTGCAGTCCTAGTTTTTGGTCTTACCAATCATGAGCGCTGACTTATGTCTATGCACTGTGTCTGACTGACCGGTAGGGGGAGCTCTGACTGTGTCAATTTGCTTTGCCCCATTTCAAAGGCTGGAGAGGAGATGAACTGCTGCTTGGAATGTTCTTAACCAGGCTGATTTCCTATTATCAATAGGATTTTTTGGTTGTGATGCATAGGGATAGTGGCAGTAGTGGTACCTAATGGGTACAAGCCAGGGATGCTGCTAAACATACCATAGTGTGCAGGACAGTTCCCATAACATAGAAGCATACATGCAATACATCAACAGTGCTGATATTGAAGAGTCCTGGGCCAGGTATTGGGTTTTAAACTATGTAACAAAAAGGAAGGTGATTTGAAGGCATCTCAAAGACAAAGGAGCCATTCTATCTGGATTTCCCTAACTTTCAGGGTGTTCTGTAGTCACCGGTCCCAACACATAGTGATGTCTTCATCACTAGACTCTGAAAAGGGAAATCTGATGCTGGGGCCTGAGAAGGAAAGGAATGGAGGAGGCTGCAGACTTCTGGGGCAGCAAAGTGAAGGGAGGCAGCCCCTGCTGCAGGAATGATTGTTAGAGGCACATCCTGGTGGAACTTGCCCACTTCACACTAGCTCAGCTATAAATCCCAAGCCAACCTTTGGAAGGAACAATCCCAGAATGTGAAGAAGGAGGAGATGTGATGAATAGGGAGATCATCACAGGCTGTGCCATGATAGGAAAGCACATGTTAGAGGAGCCTCCAACCCCATTTTGCTGCTAAAGACCAGAATCCTGAGCTCAAGTCTTGCCTGTCCTACTGTTGAGGTTTGTGTCTGGATGTCTCTAAAGAGCCTCATGCAGTTATAGAGGGTTTTGGACTCTGAAAATTCTTCATGCTATCACCACTCAAAAATAAGGTAATCCAGAGTTTTCTTCTGAAAACTAAGCCTTTCACTTCTGCAATTTTGAAGCTGCAGAGTGTGATACTGCTTCTTGTGATGTCCTCCGACATCACTAGATGTATTTTCTATTCTCATGTTCCTGTTTAGCAATTCAAATCTTCCTTATTCTGTCTTTGCAGCCCACAGCTTTACTAGAGCTTCATTTCTGGTCAAACTCACAATGTTTTGAATCATTCTGCTGGCTTCATGTCTTTGATACTCAAAAAACTGGCCATAACACTCCAACTGTAACCATGTCAGTGCCTCAAAATTAGACAGTCTTAAAATTTCTTCTTCCAGGTTAGTCTGTGACTATTAATCTGAGTCTCAGGAAAAGTCTCAACATGAGCACAGTGCAGATAAACTTCAGCCAAACCATAACATACATTATCTGGAGTCCAACTACCAATTCAGCCCTTCCCAGCAGAAACCTCCTGAGCCTCCAGCAGGTTTTCTATCAGTCTTCTTCTCTTCTCAGCACTAACTAGAATCTCCCACACACAATGGCCTAAGGCATTCATTCCAGATTTACTTTTTGTGCTGTTATCTCCTAATGATTCCAAACTCTTCCCACAATGCTTTCCCAATGGTTAATCAACTACATGAGCAGGTATAGTCACAGCAATGGCTCCACTTCTCTGGTACCAAATTCTGTTTTAGTTACTGTTCTGTCACTGCTGAGACAAAATACCCAATACTTAAAGTTAAAGGAGCAGTTTTACTTTCCTCACAGTCTGTAGAATTTGATCCATAATTGGATGGCTGCAAGGCAGGGAGATACATGGCAGAAGGGCATCAGTTCATGATGGAGAAAGACAGCAAAAGCAGTGAGAGAGAAAGAGTGAGACAAGTCTCACTCTCGTCACATATCATTTATTTTTGCCAAACTGAAATAGTAACTATATGGTTATGATTAGAATTAGGTAATAAGTCTAACAATTTATGTTGTGGCCAGAAGGTTAATTATCTCTTATTTATGTAAGAGACTGATAATTTAGATTTTTTAACCAGTCAATAATCTGGTCAATCCAGTCAATAGACTGATCCAGCAGCCATCACTCTTAAACACAATCATTTCGCTACAAATCAACACACACTCTAGATTCAGCCTCTTCCCAAAAAAGTCTAATAGTGCATGCCTTCCTACTTTTTACTCTTGTTACTGAGACAAAATACCCAATGCACAACATAAAAAAGGAAAAGTTTATTTCTTAAAGTTCTTGGAGGATTCAGTTCATACTCAGTTGGCTCCAAGGCAAGGTGGCATGGCGGGGCCACCATTCATCGCCACCACAAACAGCAAAGCACAAACAATCAAGAGAAAGAGGCACACCTTCTTCTTGCCATTACATCATATGCTGGTTTCACCCCTAGTTGAGTGTGGCACTCACACCACCAATCTAAGGGCTAGACAATGAACCAATCACTAATACTAGATTTGGTTGAGTCCATAATTGCAGGAGACTTGTGGGCCACTGATATAAACAATGACACCGCATAAGCCTTTGGGGGAACATCTAGAAAAAACCATAACCGTGTCTAAAACCATTTAGTTAAATTTTAAGCCATGTAACTTTGCAAACTTTATATATTACCAGAATGTTGTTTTCCTTCTGACTCAACACATCCATGGTTAAAAACCTAATATACCAATCTCTTGACTTAAATAATAGGTAATTAACCTTCTGGCCATAACATAAATTTATAGATTGATGACCTAATTCTAACCATACCATATAGTTGCTACTATAGTTTGGCAAAAAATATGACATGTGACAATAAAGAGATGCTATAAAGCATTTAAGGATAATGTATCATTTAATTGTTTTAGTTGTATCTTCAATGTTTTAGAATAAAATCTAGTACTGGTATAGCAGCACACTTCAAGAAAGAAGATATTCCAATAATCAAATGGTCAAAAATCCGGCAGTTTAATACAGGAGTGATCATAATGAGATACCTCAACTATCCTCAGATTGATAGCCACATGAGGAATAGGGAGACTGGTTAGGTTTCTAACACTTCACAAATGAATGGAGCTTTGGAGATCCCTTCATTGAAAGTTTTTCTGGATTTATGTGAGGAAATATGATGTCATACATATGAAGCAATGTTGAATTTATTCTTAAACATTATATAAAATACATTTTTATTCTCCAGTGGTAATCTGTCAATACATTTAATTGCCAGAGTACAGTAGACCTCTGTGGGTGAAAATGTTGATGTTTTGATACTCCTTCCTGGCTGCTGCCCAGTGAGAATTTGTTGAGCAAATAAAGCAAGGCTGTTAGCTCCACAGGGTTAGATAATCAACATCCTCACCTCTCCTTTTAAGGCTCCTGACTGGTCCAATCACTGTGGCACAAAAGCAGAGTGTTCCAGTGGTGGCTTCCTGGAGTTGTTGCAGACACTGTCTGTTGCTTTCTTCCGTTCCTCACTAGCCTGGCTTTTCAAACCTTCTGGGCCGTTGCCCCCTCTGAACTATGTGGGACAGGTTTGGGATTCAGAGCAGAGGGCTGCACTATAAGCTTTATCCACAAAGAGTCATAGCACTCTCGGAAAGCTGTGAGGCTGGGCAGAAGAAGGGGAAGTGAGTGGAGGTTGGGGCCCATGGGGATTAAGGTCTCACTTCAGGTGGGACCTTGACTGTGGACAGAGATGCTAACACCAGATTCAAACTGATTCCCATTTGTTTGGCACCACAGGCTTTGTGTTCTCACTCAGTGAACTCTATTCAGCGTTTCTGTGTGATTTTTTTTAAAAAATGTGATGTTTAAATTTTTAAAAATTTATTATAGTGGAAGACATGTTCCCATGAATTCACCTCAAATACTCGCCTTGCTTCAGACACAGGTACCCATCTTTCTTGCTCCTTTCTGGAGCAATTCTGAATGTCCTCTTTCCTAAATGTTTTTAGTTGTATTTTCCTGAATTCCTCCATATGCTGAATTGACCCAGAACACTTATCTTTCGTGGGTACCTTGGGGAAGAGCCAGAATTTTCACAGTGCCAGATTCAGTGAATAAGGAGAAGAAGGGCACGATGTGTTATTTTTTCAAAAGAAACTGCAGTAAATGTTTTAAATGAATTCAGGTCTTACTGGCTGCCATGAAAAGGGGATTTCCAGAGTTGCTTCAGAAAGTGGCAAGGATTCTGGGATTAGTAGATTCAAAGGGAAAGAGTATTTTGAATGGGATTAATGGCAAAGTGTCTTTTATGTTGCAATTATATTTTTTAAAAAATTTAAGAATTCACTGTGTATTTTGATCATACATTGTGTGTTTGCTCTAAACCTGGCCATGCCCTATACCCTCAACTACAGGGTCTGGCATAGCCTTTCTGTGAGTCTCCCAGTTTCTTCATTAATGTCTGGCTCCTTGTAGGCATCACGGGCATACACCTCACATGATGAGCACTAGTCCTCCTTGAAAACGTGTTCACCTAATAATCATTCTTCCACAAGTGTAGGCATCAGCTGAGATGCAGAGACAAGTACTGTTTGGAGTTTGTGGACTCCTATAACTGAGCAAGGAAAGAAGGAAATTAACTGAAGAATAAATGGTCTGTCTCTGAAAGGGGTCTCAGAAGGGAGGGTAATAGAGTGGTACTATATAATGATGAAGGTAACTGAGATCAAAAGGGCAGCATCATGAATACCTACAAGACAGCGCTGGGTTTTTGTATTCATCCTCATTGATTCCAGCCCATTTAGTGCAAATGCACCACTTATCAGAATGCAGAGAGTATAAAAAGGGAAGGAAGAAGCATCCACTGGATGGGACAGGTGGGGACAGTGACGTAACAGGTAAAACCACCAATCAGGGTCATGGAAGTCAATTCTAGCTTCCTCACTCAGGCTATGCTACCTAGAGGATGCCCATCTGAGACCTGACTCCACCATGAGCTGCAGGCTTCTCTGCAGTGTGACCCTCTGTCTCCTTGGTGTAGGTGAGTTTGGGTTCCAGTGGCAAGTCCCTGGACTACATACTTGTTCCTGAGGGTTTCAATATTAACTTTTTGCTAGGTTCTCTCTGAGTTTTGTTTATTTTCCCCCACAGTCCCCATGAACAGCACAATTATCCAGACACCAAGATATCTGGTTATGGGAACAGCAAACAAGAAGTCTTTAAAATGTGAACAACATCTGGGACATGATGCCATGTACTGGTATAAACAGAATGCTAAAAATCCTCCAGAGCTCATGTTTGTTTACAGCTTTCAGAAACTGACCCAAAATGAAACAGTGCCTAGCCGCTTCTCACCTTGGTGCTCAGAAAAAACTCATATGTACCTTAACTTGACTGCTTTGCACCCAGAAGATTCAGCAGTGTACCTCTGTGCCAGCAGCGAAGACACAGCCATGCAGAGCAACTGCCTCCCTGTGCACAAATCTGTGGGCCCACCAGGGAAGCTTTGGGGGCAAATGAGGGCTCTGATGCACATTTCCTGTAGGGTTTCCTTGTAAACTGTTATGCAAACCATAACACAACTTGCTGCCTCAACTCTCATGGTGACTATATTTTAAGAACATACTTAGAGTATGGATTTTCATTTTCTTGAATGTGACTCTGCTCTACTAAGTAATAAAAAACAAATACTCTTGAATTTAGTGTGCATTAATTCCTTTCTAATTGTGAAATAAACCAAGCCTGCTATAAGCAGATCTTTATGGTTTACAAGTAAGATGTTGTCCTTAGAGAGTTTCACTGTACATTCCAGAAACCAGTATTTTGAGTCTCTTATTCCCAGGAATTAAGGACCGCAGTCACCTACAGTGAGGCAGCCCTAAGCTTAGGGAATCAGGGAAGAAACTTCTGGGCACGGGTTCCAGGGCTTGAGACACCTGCAGTGGACAGTAAAAGATTCACCTTTGGGAAATGGATTGAAAATGTGTACTGTTCTGTCTTCACCAGTTCTATTGCAGTTCTCTAAATTCTTATTTTTTTCCATTATTGTGACTTTGTGTTCTGCAATTTCTTTCTCTCTCTCTGTCTCGCTGTCAATTTTTTTTTTTTTTCATCTAAAGCTAGATTCTGGGCTCCATCCTTGATCAAAGTGCCACCTCTGTACAGATGCCCTCTCTGAACCTAGGGATGCTAAGAACGTCTCTGTCTGCTCCCATTCATTCTGTGGGGAGTTCACTCTGTTCACGCTCCCCTCCTTGCTCTCAAATATCCCTGCTTTGGAGCCTTAGATCTTCACTGGAATATCTATCTACACTGATATTTGTGGAGTAATATACCCACTTTTCCCCCTGTATTCTTCAAATTCTAAATAGTCAGGTCCAGAGAGCTTCTGCAACGAGACCTTGCACTGGCTGTCAGCAAAGAGAGTGGGACCTGCTATTCCACGCACGCCTTACACACAGGCTTGCTGTCCTGAGCCCTGTACTATTAAGGAGTCACCAACATTGTCACTATTTAACCTAAGCTGCACACTGCAGGACACTCTGTGTCCAACCTTGGGGAATTTTATGTCCCTGATGTGGTGGAGGTTCCTGTTTTCATGTTTCCTTGAGTTTTTGGTGGCAGGACAGGCTGTCACATAACCAGATCTTTTCTTATGCACTTCTGATAACCAGCTTCCCAACTGGGACAGACCTATACCTGTGAGAACTACTAAGGACTGTATCCTCCCCTGCTGGGTGACTCTTGATCTCCTGGGGCCAGGTGAGTCCTAGAAGTCCCTACAGTTTTCCATTCTGCCTTTCTCTAGGGGTACCTCCAACCCTTGATCTCATTCTCTTTTTGTTGTCTGTCTTTATAGGACACAAGGCACCAGAGTCAAGCAAACTTCCAGCCACAAGATCACTGAGATGGGACAGCCTGTGACTCAGAGGTGTGACCCCATTTCTGGTCACCTGTAAATCTGTTGGTACCCACAGACTGCAGAAAAGGGAATGGAGTTCATGGTTTATCTTTATGACAAGCAACATAGGGAGCAGGCCGACTTTTTCAAGGATCACTTCTCAACAGAGCAGTCAGAAGAGTCTTACTCCATTGTGAAGATCCTGCCCTTGCAGCTGGGAGACTTAGCCATGTATCTCTGTGCCAGCAGTGCAGCCACAGCCTCACACAGACATTTCCTGTCCCTACAAATATTCAGTAGCTCCTCCTCTCCCAAGTCTCTGCGAAACACTTCCTTCCTATGGAGGAAGAGATGTGTAGCTGTGTAGTGATTGTTTATAGTAGGGGCAGAAAATTAACACTGCATCAGAATAGTCAATAGAACCAAGGATAACTCAGCTCAACTCTGTATTGACTCTGATGCTAGCTGACTGCAGGTTCCTGGGCTGTGGGCCCTGTTCCTTCTGGATGCATGGTCTCAGGAGCACACACAGGATGTTCTTATGTTCCATGTTCTCCTTTATGTAAATACTTAGCTGTAATATCAATTCTTTTACACATGCTATGAAATGAATCAGTACTTCACAGGCATCATTGTTGAGACAATCAAGGAAGTACTAGTTTATGGCGAGGTGAACGGATTGGGATAGACTTCTGAAAATCAGTCCAGGACTCTTTTGTACAAATCAGTCAGAAATCAGGAATTGGCAGATACAGCTCTGTTAGCACCTCCAAAATGGAATCTTCTCAGTCGTTGGTGTTGAAGCTCTGCAGTCGAGGTGAACAAGTGTCATAGATGGATTCTACAACTCACAGATGTGGCCTTTGGTTACCTCTGGTTAACACTGGCTCCTTCTTCCAGTGCCAGATGCTATCACCAGCCAGTGCTGGTTGTCCCCAATACTGGTCTCTATGAATGGTCTCTCCAGATTTCTATGGCCACTCTCTGGAGTTCTTCAGAACTAGCAGCCCCTAGTGTTTGCACTTGAAGCTCCTTTTTAACTCAACCACTTGTCCTAACCTATTTTGAGATAAAAATCCTGAGTAGATTTACAAGAACTTCCAAGACCATTCTCCCTGACAACTGAATCACAAGTAAATCACAGGAGCACCACAGAAAGGTTTTATCTGAAACAGGCCTGTGCTAAAGAACATGACAGGCCAATGTGAGAAGTTTGAAAAGAGTGCTGCTCACTTGGGAGCAACAGGCCTGGGACTGGTTCAAATTTCAGTCCACTGATTGGTCCATTTTGAATTCTACTATTTGGTTCAAATTCAGTCCTACTGCTTTGGACCCAGATACCATGAACCAAATTCTGTGATGCTGTAAACCAAAATAAACTGTTCATTTAAGTGTAGATGTTGGAGGTGTGCCCCAGTAATGAAAAATGTGGTCAACATTCAAAATTCAATTTCCTCCATGAAGGCCATATCTTCACGTACAGTAAGCCAGGGTTTTAAATTAAAAACTAAGTCAGGGAACATAGAGCACTAAGTCCCTAACATGTGAAATCTTATTACCCATTGGCCCTCAGAGTGGGGCACTGTGGCACTATGGACCTGTCTGTGGGGAGCAGCACAGAGAGCTGGAAGCCAAGGACATAGAAGGTTCAAGAAAAATTCTATTTCACACTTTCATCCACTAATATGTTTGATGACACACACAGGAATTCGTAGTGTGTTTCCACAGCTGGGAGTCAGAAACTCCAGTTATATAACAGTTAGATAATTTACAGAGTTTCAAACAGATCAGGAAATATTTGATACTAAATTGGGATGGCCTGCATGTGCTGAGTAGTGACAGGCAGAGGAATACCTGCTTCCAAAGAAAATCAAGGGAGCTGTGGTGTAGACACAGGGCCCAACCCCAGCGCAATATAGAGCACCAAGGTAGCTATCTACATTACGTTATTGTGTCAAAAAAGACCTAACTTTTTTGTACTAGGTGAACGCAAGGACATGGTAACAAAAGTAGGTTGCATTGACATCTGTAGAGACCATGAAATCACAGAGGTGACATCACCTCCTAATGTCCAGTAAAGAACTGATGTTTATGACTCTATCCTTTGGAGGACAAGAACCCTGAGCAGAATGACAATGGTTCATTGCTGTCCTAACCTGCCATGTGCTTGAGGTTTCTCTACTATGTGGCCATTTGTCTCCTTGGAGCAGGTAAGTCCTGTAAACTAGGACCACATCCCCATTCAGTACTTGCTATCTTCTGAATCTTCCACTCCCCACTGAGAATGCACATCAGGATAGCTCCTGAGTTCATTCTTTATCTTCATTTTCCACAGGTCCTGTGGAGTCTGGAGTCTTCAACAACCCAAGGCACAGGATCAAATGAAAGGACAGCAAGTGACACTAAGATGCTCCCCTATGACTGGGCACCAGAGTGTGTCCTGGTTCCAATGGGTCATGGGTCAGGGGTCTCAGTTTCTCTTTGAATACTACCATGAATTGCAGAGAGCAAAAGGATACATTTCTGATCAATTCTCAGCTCAATTCCGTGACTCTCTCTCTGAGCTGAACATAAGTACCTTAAAGTTGGGTGACTCAGCTATGTATCTCTGTGCCAGCAGAGGGCACAGTTCTGCAGAGCACCCAGCATTCTGTGCACAAACCTCCTGTCAGCATGGAGTAATTTCACATCTGACAGAGATATGAAAACCTAGGGAGCATCCAGGTGTGGTGGTGCATGTCTATCATTCTAGGTTTCAAGAGAGCTGAGGCAAGAAGATCACTGGAAACTGGACCCAGCCCGGGACAACTCAGTGAAACAGTACTTCAAAATAGGAAAGGGATAGGGCCATAGCTCAGTAGGCATGCCCTGTGTTCAAGTTTCTGCCAAACAAAAAGAAACAGAGACAGAGACAGAGATAGATACAGGAAGAGAAGGACAGAGAGAGAGATAGAGAGAGAAAGACAGACAGACAGAGACAGAGACATAGAGACAGACAGAGACAGAAACACAGAGACAGACAGCGAAACAGAGAGACAGAGGCAGAGAGAGTGACAAGCAAGAAAAAGAAAGAAAGAGAAAAAATGTTAAAAATAAATGAACAGAAGGAAGAAAGAAAGAAAGAATCCTAGAGTCTGAGGTTATAGTAGGTAAGAGAAATGGTGTTAGGTCTCCAGAAAGTGCAAACTTTTCCATCAGTAGGAGAAGGGAAATAAGACTAAGTACGCAATGTGTTACTTCCATAAGTACCCTGTAAAAGCACTTTGCCTAACAGTGTACCACAAGTGGTACCAAAAGGGGAGTTTGTAAAGTAAGAGCCCTTCTTCTATGGACAGGAAATTTTACTTTAAGACAAGATTGTTAAATAATAGTGTAGTGTGGGTGGTAATATCACAGAGGTTGGTGTAGCATAGTTGGAGGAGAGTGAATTGAGATTTGAGGAAGGTCAAGAAGACAGTACAGAAGAGAGATGTTTGAAATAGAGTCGGAGTTGCAAGGTGGCCTAAGGTGATGTTCTATGCAACACAATCTCTCTTCTGCTTCCAAGACCCTCAGTACCCCAAAACTATAGAGCAAAGCTTTGTAGACACTGGCATCAGCTCTCAACCATTCTCCATAGGGGACATCACCAAATAACCAGGTGCCTGAAGTGAGAAGCCTAGAGTTGATTAT